GTAACCTACTTTTCAGCTCTGTTTTCCTTTGCAGGGCAACAAAAGAAGACCCAGCCAATCAGCTGGGATTCGGGAGATAGAGAATAAATGGGGGAAGGGCCAGTCAGAGATGGTATTGGCTGGTTGTCTGAACTACTCAAAATTTCTGCTACCGGTTCTCCAAACTACTCAAAATTTCTGCTACCAGTCTCTAGAACTGGTCAGAACCTGCTGAATACCACCTCTGATATATGGTATATTTAATAGTAAAATGCTAAGAACTGTGTACGGGCAAATCAAGCCAAACAACACGTATACAGAAATATGTTCTTCTCCTTGTTAGTCTCTATTTTTTTTAAAGAAGGTAAGGTAAGTTTTAGAGCTGAAAAAGCAGCATGTTTGAAAGGCTGCACGCATGCAAAGCGCACACTCACTGAACTAGTTGTTGCGCCGGTTGAATCACACCTCTGCTCAGATGCCCTCTCTTACCCCAAGCATTTCTTTGCCTATTTGATTTGCAGCTCCATTGCATTTCTCCATCACTTTTCTAGCCATCGTGTGCAGAGAAACAAGTTTGTGGGCCTAAAAAAAAGTTCAAACAATTCCAACTTCGCGATATCTTTTTTTTTTTCATGAGAAGTTGGAATTGATTGGACTTTTTTTTTTTTTAGTCCCACAAACACAATGATGAGAAACGCAACAGAGAAACACGACAGAGCTGGAAATCAGGTAGGCAAAGCAATGCTTGGGGGAAGTGAGGGCATCTGGGCACCAGGTGCTGAAACAGGCCTGTCTCTCTCCAGTAGCTATCCAGATCCGCTGGAGGGAAGGTTGGCATCTACTGGCACTTAAATGCGGCAGAATTCCAGCTCCCGGGAAAGGGCTTAGTCTGACTTGTTACAATCCCTTTTAACAAACTGAGATGCCATGGCATAGAGTGATATCTGTTAGTGAGCTCACCAGCCAAAAATAAACCACACCATAGCTTGCCGTTCCATGAGACCCATGCTAATTTGTCAGTAAAGTTAAATCACAGCTCATTTGTTCTTTATTTAGCACAGAATAAGATGAATAACTCTCATAAAATATGAATCTAATATAAGATTTCAAACTGTAAAAGAAGGAGATTAAGGAGATTAAGGCTTCTTTATGATCCTATCCATACATGGACAGAATTAACAGAAAGTAGTAAGTGTTCCATCAGCCTATCCTAAGGGTCTTTTTCAAACATTGGTCACCTAGTGTCATAATTATTCATAGATCTCAAGTTGTAAATCTTAATATTAGTGTCTGCTAAATTATAATGACTAAGCAAAGAGCTTTATTCACAATTTCAGACAAGATTGTGTAATTATATTAGTAACAGACATATACAATCACATAATCTCCCCCACACAAATATTTACAGAAAAAGTAGAAATGAATAAATGGCATGTTACTTCAATTGATGTTGCAAGGCATGAGTCAGGCCTTTACCTCAACATGATATAATGGACAGATTTTTTTAAAGCTCTGTATAAAATGGCATTTCACCTGTTTTTCAATTTTTTTTGATGATGACTCCTTGTTTTAAATACACAAGATGATGATTTTGGTGAAATTTCTTGCAATCAAAGCAGATTACGGGTGTAGACAGAGTATGGTTTAAAATCAAGCTGGCAGCTGTTTATATGCAAAAAAATAATAATAGTGCAGCTTTTGATTGTATTATCATGTCCACTATCTTGCTTTTTTTAAACTATTCCTTGTGGGCACTTCCCAGTTTGACTGACGGTAATGGGACAAAATGGATTCCCATCATTTGTCCCTGCAAAATAGTTCTTAATACTTCAGAAGAAAATTTAGAATCCAAATTCAAAACTAAATATTTTAACCCTAGAGATCCTTGATATGTGTGGGGAGAATAACTATAGGTGAAACATTCCACATGAAAAGAAAATTAGATAGTGAAATGAATAATAAACTTCTATTTTTAAAATATGCATTTATCAACATGCTGTTCTTGAAATGACAAGTGCATGACAAAGAGTTTATTGTACACAAAAGTGATACAAGTGGGGGGAAAGGTATTTTTCACATTACATAGCTTTGTACTCCAATTTATCACCTACTTTCCCTAGGGCATTTCAACAAACTTTAGAATATTTAAAATTACTGAATGCAATTGCTTCTAGGCCATGTTCCTATGAATATTTGAAACTAAATTCCATTAAAATAAGTACAGTGTCTACACCTTGTAATCACTATCTAGAAAAGTCAACCGTACCTACAAATTAGCTGTGCCAATATGCTAGTGCATTAAATTAGACTTTGTCACCCTTGGTTAAGTTCAAGTAGATTTACACCATAGCTTTCAGTAGTGGTTATTAGTGTTCTAAATTGCTTAACATATTTTCTCTACTCCAGAATACTTTATCTATATGCTGTACTATGTACAGTACGAATTAGTATTTGAGACCTTAAATTTAGCCACTTAAAATAATTCCTCAATTTATAAGTAGCAAATTAAAGTACATTTGATAGTTTATTTGATAGTTTATTGCATTAAGAAGAGTGATCTTCAATTCCCAGAATTCCCCAGCCAGCCTTGATATGGGAAGGCTGTACAACTCACAATGAAGTCAAAAAATTTAAGGGCATCACTATGAAATACAAACATTCCTGTAATTCTTGAAAAGGGAAATACAAATTGGTTTACCTTTTCAGTAGGGAAAACACTGTGCAAACACTGTATAGATCAGTGGTCCCTAATCTTTTTGGCACAAGGGATTGGTTTAATGGAAGGCAAATTTTCCACAGAACCTGGGGTGGTGCTGGTTTCGGTTTTGCTCACTCATTCATCACTCACCTCCAGTTCTGTGACCTAGTTCCTAACAGGCCATGGACATATTGTAGATGAAACTAAAACTGGCTGGAGAGTTCTGGGAATTGAAGTCCATACAATCTAAAAATTGTTCTAGAGGATACCTTGTTTTATTTCAATCCTGATCTGAATTCTTCCTGCTTGTAATGCATTTAAAATTGGAATTTTGTTGCATGCATGACTCAAAACCTCATCACTTACACATATTTAATTGTTTTAATTCATGCTTGGTAAACATGTAAAAATATACCTGAAATATTGAAATAGAAGCTGCAGAAGCTCTAGTAGGAAATATATATGTACCGAAGTAAAACTGTACTTGTGAGGAAATCCAATTCTATCAATTTCATGATTTGCATCATTCCCAATATGGGTCATTTTTTTTATTGCCATTGCTGTATAATCCTCCTATAATAAGTCTTCAGATATATTTTAGATTTGGATATTTTTTTAAAAAAAATCATAATAGTCTGTTTATATACAAGAATTGTCCTCATAACATTTCAAAAGTTCCAGTGGATTGATAAAATGTTAATATTTAATATAAATAACTGTAGCTATTCTAAAAAGGCTATTTGAACACATATTTAAATTACATATACTGGCAGGTTGATATGGGAAGATTGTACAATTCACAATAGAATTACAGAATTTATGAGCACCAGTATAAAGTTCAAACATTCATTGTAATATTTGAAAAGGGTTGATACCAATTAACCATTTCAGTAAGGAAATACACAGTGGCTAAAACAGCAACAAAAAGCATCTGAGGAAAATAATGAAAATAAATCATTATGTAAATGCACATATAACATCTATGATTGGTTATGCCATGTTGAATTTTTGTCAAAAACATTTGCTATACTCCTTATTATAGTGTGTCATATTACAAAGGTCTGCTGGTTAAAAAATGGAGCAGGGGAATTTGAATTCTAGTTTTGCCTGGAATCCTGAAGCCAATTGGACTAGTCACCCTCATTCAGCCTTGGGAAAAAGGCTATAAACCTCCATATTAGTGACTTGCACAAAGATCCATGTTCTGTCTGTAATAAATTAAAGAACTATGACTTAAATTTTTCAGGAAAACAACAATGATTTTTTCACATTTTTCACTAAATATAAAGAAAATGTATTTTCGAGGATTCATCATTAATAATGAGAAAGCAGTAATCATCTGTGCAGATAGTTATTCTTATCCTATTACATTGAACACCAGGAGGCAGTATGCTCTCTATTTTATTTTTATTAGAAAACCAGTATTGTACTGTCTCCTGGTGGCCAATATATAACATTACTGAGAACATAACACTGGAGAAAAAACAGATGGTTCAGAGTCATGCATGATTCTAATGTAGTCTTAAGACCTATTCATAAGGAGAGGCTAATTTCCCCCCATGTGAAGGAATGGCGCTGCTTTCAAATCCACCCCTCACTGTGAATGAAGTCCCTTCATTTTTTTTAACTGCACAAAATGGTTAAAAGTTTTTATTTATAGATGCGCACTAAATATAGGACCCTGTATAGGCTTTTATCCGCACACTTTTAATTTATGAGAAATATACCTTTTCTGGTATTATAAATAATATCTTAGCATTAACAAGTTTTCAGTTTTCTGGATGCGTATTTTTCCTTCTCAAATTGTAAATACCAAGGAATGTACTTGAGGTGCTCCAATTACAAATATGACCTTAGCCATTAAGTAATAATTTTTCTACAGTTATACACAAGACGGGGAATTCCATTCGATGCTTGATAGATAACACCTCTGTGAAATTTTCATCCAGGATAAATGTTTCCCAAAACAGTAGCAAGCTCAGCTTTGAATATGGGCTTCTTCCCCATTTAAGAATGATGATAAAGTTGCAGATGTTTCTTATGCTTGTCAGACGCTGTTTGAAACCCTCAAATTCAATTCAGTAGGATATATGTCTCTGTGTGTACATTTGAGATAAAAATCAGTGGGTTGTGCTCTAAAAATAAGTGACAATATTAAAAATAATGGGTAGAATCTGAGGAGTAATTAGCAATAGCACTTATATACCGCTTCATAGTGCTTTACAGCCCTCTCTAAGTGGTTTACAGAGTCAACCTATTGCCCCCAATAATCTGGGTCCTCATTTTACCAACCTCAGAAGGATGGAAGGCTGAGTCAACCTTGAGCCTGGTGAGATTTGAACTGCCAAATTGCAAGCCATCGACAATCAGCAGAAGTAGCCTGCAGTACTATACTGTAACCACTGCACCACTGAAGCTCATGGTCTCTTTGCTCTCTCCCTAGTTTTGAATACACCTTGGCTTCAGAGTTGTTTGTATATCCATGAAGAAAAAGTTATCAGAAAAAAAAAGTTCCAAGTTCAAAAAAGGTTGCACAATTTTTCAGTCCTGCTCATCTATAAAAAAGGAAAAGGAAAAAATCAACTTTCCTTCCAGGATTTTTTTTTCTATCTTTGATTTGTTGGTTTTTCTTTTTGTTTCTTTTATTGCTCAGCATATAGTATTGTTTGAAATAAAACTTCTGTGACCTTTCCTACATTAAACCAAGGATTTGATTTATAGTCATATCTCAGAAGTCCACCTGAGGACAGATCATTGCAGAACTGTTAAAGAGTTTTTCTTTTTCTGGAGTTTCTTCTCATTTCTCCATTTTCTTTCTTAAGGGCCTCTTGAAAAATCCAGCCTGCAAGGAAAATAATGAGAGGGGGGGAGGGGGGGAGAAACATAATTCAAATTAAAAATTACTACATTAGACACAAAAAGATTAATGCAAAATCTGATAGTACAATATGTCTAAGTTTAGACTATGAGCCAATGACAGATTCCACCCTTCCCTGAGTGTCAATCATTCCAATGCTTTCCCCCATTCATCCCTGCGAGCAAAAAAATTTCTTCAGATGAAACACAAAGAGGAACAAAAGTAATAAAACCATATTAGGACAAATATAAATTGTGAAAAATCCATCAGTTCATTTGGTAATATATACTAGATTTACTCTGATGGAAATATATAGAAATATATAGAATGAAATGCATACTGTTTGGAATTAAAAGCAGTACTTTTCATAATTGTACTAGTGCCATTTATTTTTGGGCCTTGGGATTTCTGTTATCCTCTATCTTTTATTTCTAATATCATTTAGCATTCTGTATCCTCCACTGGTCTGTTATTGAGGCACTATCTTAATTTTCTCTGTCGCTGTCCATTTTATTTTATTGACGCAAACTTGATTCTCTATATTATTAATATTATTATTGTTATTATTAAACTATGAAAAATGGGTCACTTTGTGGTTACATTAATAGTAATTGAATCATTAATGAAACTACAGTGTATGTCCTAAGACATTAAAAGATGTTCCAAGTTGTGAAGACCTTATTTTCTTAGCTTTGACAAGGCTGCCAGCTTATGGACAGATGACTAATAACAACTGTTTTAACTGTATTAGATTATATCACTCTGTGTACTACATTTCAAACCTGATGAAATTGTTAATATGAGAGCAATAAAGTATTTTTATGTGGAACATTGGAAGAAATGAAAATAATTCAGTAGAAATTTGAAAATATATATTTATATAAATTGAAAACTGAAAACTAAATATTATAAGAATATGAAAAAAGACACATGTGAGAAATAGTATTTAGGAAAAGCCAAGCCTGTAAGGAAGTGCAAGTTTAGACTAAAAGTTTAGTCTTATATATGGCAATTGCACTGTTTTTCTCATTTGGATTATCTTTCCATCCAAACAAATAATTCCAAGATAACACCAATGTGAACAGCCACTAACCTACTCCAAAATATTTTGCATGTTTTTATAACATTCAGAATCTGCTTGTATAAATATTAATTAACAACCATTTAATAATAATGTATACTACAACTTTCAAAATTATGGCATACAAAAACTGTCTTCTGAATTTTTAAAAAATTTGTAACACTGCAAGATAGAAAGCATTGATTTTTTTAAATTCATGGATGGCTCATCATTTAAGTGGCATTGCTTAAGCAGATAATCAGAAAGATTTTCTCCTTCTTGCCTTTGCCAAATCACCAAGATGTCAGAAAAGGAAAATGTAGAAAAATGCATCATACCTTCCATAATGCAAATATAAGCAAGGTAAGAATCAGGAGCCCAGCAAAAACACTCAGCAAAATAACCCATAATGGCACATGGCCAGGAAGAAGCTCCTTTGAGATTTGAATTATTGTCTGAAATACATTAAATCACAACAAGAATTAATGATTTCTCTAAAATAGAAACTGAGAAATCAAATTGAATAGAAGCTACTTTTTTATTCATTAGAAACGCATTCTTTTGTTATCAAATATGACTTGGGATGAATTCAAAGGTTCCCTTGAGTGAGACAGGACTCATTATTTTTATCCCAATAACTTTCCACTTGTCTTCAAAATCTGCAGATGTTGGATGGGAAACAACCACTGGAAGTGTAGATCTCCCTTAACTCTGACTCCAACCTACCTTTTTAATGAATAAAATTGTTTAGGGAACAGTTAAAAAGTGCAAATGTGAGTGTACAAATGCTGGTGTTAGGAATATTTGAACTCAGATTCTCTCCCACTTATGGGATATAGTCTATAAGTGCAAACATTTTGTTTCTTTTGCAATGTTGTTCTATAAATACTTGTGCCTTGGGAAGAAAAATGTGATAAGTCATATTATCAACTGTACATCATTTCAGGCACATTAAAGCTCCAATTCTACATCTACATTAAAGCTACAGTTCTATCAACTTGCTGATTTGCAAGTTGATACCTACCGTACTGTAAATCCTACCATACAGGATTTAGACATTTTCCAAATAAAAATAGATTTTATTGTTTGATTGGTGGATTAAATTTATATGCCACCATCTCACTGTTGAGCAAGGCAATTATATCTCAGTCCTGTGTAATATGGTGCAATATACATAACATACATGAAAAAGATGGAGCTTTAGTTGTCCAATTAGCTAAAGTGTAAGATATCAGCTGATCTTATCTTATACATTATACCAGTTATACATATCTAAATATTTCTACAAGGACGCTCACAAATATTTATTAATTTCTAAAATGCCAACAGCTGTATTAACGCTCAAGTAAAAATACTAATCGAGTTGCAAGGAAATATATAGCTAATGGTCTGTATGATTACTTATAAGTATTTTTTGTAGGATTTTCCACCTAATTAGAGGCAGATAATTTTTCTGGCTAAACTGGCTCACAAGTTGAATTTATGATATGCAAAATAAACTGCTGGAACCCACCTCTATTTTTTCATTCTCTTTCTTCAAGATCATTAATGAGTTTTCACTCCTTAGATTTGCTTTCACAATGAGTTCCACGCTGTGAATTTTTGCCTAGAATAAAATAGAAGTGATAATGTTTACCCTTACATTGATGGTTTCCAATTCAAAAGATGACTCAGAGAGGAAAGTGCTGCTGATAAAAAATGTCAGTAGAAGTGCACATAAAGGAATTTGCTGTAATGACAGAATAATTTACTATTACACTCCTTTAATGATCTTCATAGGGAAAATAAGCAGCATTTTGGCTTATTTAGAAAATCTTTTCTTCTGGAGGTTGACACAAGAAGGGCCAAAGGAAAAACTATTGGCATCAAAATATTTGTATCCCTTAGTGGATAATGCAGTTTTAGTTTGTCTCAAACTCCACCATAACTCCTCAAGGCATGCCAGAGTTGAGAAACAATCATCTGGACTCCACAGAAATATTGCTTACCATCTGGATCACTTACTGTCCAATGTTTTCAGTTGTCCTTTTTTATAATCTCATGAGATCAATCTTTGGACCAAAGGACAAAAAAAAATGCTTGCAAGTTGAAGCTAATGCTAGAACATGGAGATTTCCCCCCTTTCTAATACAGCTTCTAAGGCAATATCTTCATTGTAAAAAATGCTATACTGGAAACCAAAAACATATGGTTTATAGAGCTGCATATAAAGATTTGATTATGTGCCATCAAGCTATTTTCAACTCCTAGCAACCAAATAGATTTTTCTGCAAGATGATCTGTCCCCAACCTATTCTATTCTTCCATGTCTCCCAACAGTGTACTCATGATCTCATAACTGAGTCCATCTACTTTGCTGCTGTCTGCCTTCTCTTTCTAACTTATCCAGCGTTAGAGCCTTTTCCAGAGAGCTGAATCTTCAGACAATGTGTCGAATATAGAATAATTTGAGCCTGGTCATTTATGTCTTGAGTGAGAACTATGGATAGATTTTTTTTTTAAATGATCCATTCCCTTGGTATTCTCAGGAGTCTTTTCTGACTTCCTAACCTGCTTGTTTAAAATCCAACTTTGACTTCCATGACATGTCACGGGTAATACCATGGCTTACATACAGGTACAGACACATTACAGCATTTCAATATTTTTTTCCAAGATCTTCATGGCTGTTCTATCAAATGATACTGTTAGCTGCTTGTTTCTTCATTGTTGATGATTGATCCTAAACAGCAAAAGCTCCACCGCTTCAATATCTTCATTATCAATTTAACACTGATATTGTACCTGCTGCCAAAGTTTGGTCTTCTTTATATGTAATTTTAGGATTTTTTTTTCACTGTTTTCTTTGATTTTTAGTCCTGTCACATGCCTGAATACTTAGGAAACACTTACTTAGGCAATACTTACCACTCTTTTCAGTGGTATGTTCCCTTTTTAGCTTTAGTTACCTGGAAAATTTCTCTGATGAATCAGGACTCTAGTTTTGTTTTACATCTCCTCTTGGCTCTGCTTGAAGAGCATCCCTTATGATGTCTATGGAGATTCTCAGTCATCCAGGTCATGGTTGTTTCAAAGGTGCTTTTTCAGGAGGCAACTGGACTTTCTTGGTTTTTCTTTTGAAGACGTTTCATTTTCCATCCAGAAAGCTCCATCTCTGACTAACAGCTCCAGTCAGAGCTGAAGAAGCTTCTTGGATGACAACTGAAATGCCTTCAAAAGGAAAAAAAACTGCCTCTTGAAAAAGCACTTTCAGGACTCCCTTATGGTAAAATGGAAAATCCAAGCCATGATGGAACAAATGGCTGCATTTCTGTTTAGGCCAGTCTCTGCTTTCTTTGAATATTAACAACAATACCCTTTACTGAAAAATAGTTAATGGTATCTAGGTAGCCATCACTTTACAAAGATAATTTTGCTATGGTTTCAAAATCAAGAATCCACCAACATCCATGAACACTGTTAAGTGCTATCAATATTTTCTTTTTAGAGGAAAGAAAGTAATTCTTCTTTTCACTTTACACTCTGTCTTAGTGAAAGGAAATTAATTATTACCTGGCCTGCAATAGAAAAAAAAAGTCTGCAGGTTATTGTTTTACAACATTACAGTTGTATACCATAATGTTTTGCCTCAAACATATGTAGATGGGTGAAAGTTTATGTTCTCATTGCTTTAGCATGAAGAAACAAGGAAAAAAGAGGAGAATTTAACACATTTCTTATTTTCTTATGTCATAATAGTATACAGGTAGTCCTTGACTTACAACCACAATTGAACCCACAATTTCTGTTGCTAAGCAAGACAGTTGTTAAGTGAATTTTGCCCACTGTATGACAGACCAGAAATAAAAGTTAAAATAAGCAAAAAAATAGTAAGAGAACACCTGTCTGATCTTGATGAAAACAAATCACCCGGGGCCTGATGGATTACATCCCAGAGTTTTAAAGCAGCAGGCAGAGGTCATCTCAGAACCACTGCACCATATCTTTCAAAAATCCTGGAGCACCGGGGACTACCAGAGCACTGGAAAAGAGCTGATGTGGTTCCCATCTTCAAAAAAGGAAAAAAACAGACCCAGGAAACTATAGACCAATCAGCCTAACATCAATACCCGGAAGATACTGGAAAAGATAATAAAAAAACAGATCTACCAACATCTAGAAACAAGTAAAGTAATAACTAGCAGTCAGCATGGGGTTGTTAAGAACAGATCATGCCAAACCAATCTTATTTTATTCTTCAACACAGTGACTAATTAGTAAACCAGGCAAAATACTGTAAACATAATATATTTAGATTTCAGCAAGGCATTTGACAAAGTAGACCACAATCTACTTCTTAGTAAGCTAGAAAAACGTGGAATAAATAGCACCACCACTAGATGGACTCACAACTGGCTGGCAAACCATACTCAACGAGTGGTCCTTAATGGGTCTAAGTCTACATGGAGGGAAGTAAGTAGTGGGGTGCCACAAGGTTCTGTCTTAGGCCCAGTACTCTTCAATATCTTCATTAACAACTTAGATGAGGGAATAGAAAGGGAACTTACCAAATTTGCAGATGATACTAAGCTGGCAGGAATAGCTAACATGCAAGAAGATAGGCTCAAGATCCAGATGGATCTTGACAGACTAGATGGATCTTGACAGACTGGGCTGTATCTAACAAAATGAAATTCAATGTAGAGAAAAGTAAAGTCCTACACTTAGGCAAGACAAACCAAAAGTACACATAAAGACTGGGTGAAACCAGGCTCAATAGCAGTAACTGTGAGAGGGATCTTGGACTCCTAGTGGACAACCAGCTAAATATGAGCCAGCAGTGTTCAGGAGCAGCCAAAAAAGCCAAAGCAATCCCAAGTTGTATTAACTTCAAGGGAAGTACTAAACCACCCTATAAAGCCTTAATAAGATCACATCTAGAGTACTGCATCCAGTTTTGTTCACCACATTATAGAAAAGATGTTGAGACTCTAGAAAAAGTATAGAGAAGAGCAACCAGGATTATTAGGGGACTGGAGGCTAAAACATACAACAAACGGTTACAGGAACTGAGCTTGGCTAGTCTACTAAAGAGAAGGATCAGGGGAGACATGATAGCGGTCTTCCAATATTTGAGGGGCTGCCACAGGGAGGAAGGGGTCAAGCTATTTTCTAAAGCACCCGAAGGCCAGACAAAGAATAATGGAGGGAAAATTGAACAAGGAGAGATTTAACCTGGAAATAAGGAGAAACTTTCTGACAGTGAGAACAATCAACCAATGGAATAGCTTGCCCTCGGAAGTTGTGGGAGCCCCATCACTTGAGACTTTCAAGAAGAGATTGGACTATCATTTGTCAGAAATGGTGTAGGGTCTCCCGTTTGGGTGGGGGTGTTGGACTAAATGACCTACAAGGTCCCTTCCAACTCTGATTATCTGTTATCTGTTATCTTTCTTGCCACAGATGTTAAGTGAATCATTGCAATTATTAAGTCAGTAACACGATTGTTGAGTGAATCTGGCTTCCCCATTGATTTGGCTTGTCAGAAAGTCACAAAAGGAGATCAAATGACCTGGGACATTGCAATAGTCATAAATATGAATTTTGAATACATGACCATGGAGATGCTGCAATGGGCATAAATGTGAAAACTGGTATAAGTCATTTTCCTCAGTGACATTATAACTTCAAATGATCACTAAATGAACTGTTGTAAGTCAAGTACTACCTGTAATTGTACACTCTAATTATGAAACTCAATATAGTTTACTCTTGTAT